TAACTAACTACTACTACAACTAACTACTACTAATAACTTACTAACGTAACTAGTTACGTTAACTAAAACTAAATAACGGTCGGCGACTACACTCTCCTCCTCTCTCTCTCTCTACTCTCCTCCTCTCTCTCCTCCTCCTCCCTCCCTCCTCTCTCTCTCTCTCTCTATATATATATATATATATCCCTATTTTGGTTAAACATGAGTGAAAAACCCTTTTTGCCTCTCTGCTTTGCTCTATGAATTTTTCTTTTTCTGAATTTTACTATTCTTGAGATTATACTTATTCGTTTGCTTTTCTTAAAGATATTATCGAGCTCTGGCATGACTCTAGCGAGTACACCTAGACTCGTCGGAGTCACTCGGCATGGGTAACGGTAGATTCCCGAGGCTATGCCGAGTTCCTGGATATTGATCCCCATATTTGTTATGACTAGATACTACTAATTGATATTGGTCTTGTAATAAAAAATTATGCTTTTACCCCTATTAAATAGGAATCCAAACCAAAAAAAAATTCTTAACCCTAAGATTTTGACTATTCTACTCTTAAAAATTCTGCAAGTTTATAAGACCGTGAATTTTCACTCCAATGTCATAATTATTATTTGGGTGTGGTTTTGCATAAGGTTGCCACCTTAAACAAGCAAATTAAGGTGCGCTTCCAAATGTTGTCATAAATGTAATTTTGGTGTAAAAACTTCTTTGGATGACTTTAAAATCTAATTATAAAATTTAGAACTCTAAAAATGCTTCAAATCAAGTAGATCTATAAACACATGAAATCTTAAAAATAGACAGTCCAAAAGCTAAGTTGCAAGCTACACTATTTTTAGGACTCAAAATCCTTTTTTCATTTCATATTCGTACATCTCAAGATGTTGAGATGATCAATTAGAAGATTTTTCAGCATCAAGAGAACCTTTTATGATAGATTTTTGAGGTTTACCTTAATTCCACATTTTAAGATTGCAACCTTATAAACTTATTCCTTACTACTTTAACCCCGAGTATATTTGCCCAAAAAAAACACCTAAGATATTGTGGGCTCTCTGAAATGTGGATGCTTAAATGTGGAATGTTTAGACAAACATTAGACTCCAAATAGAAAAACAGAGGACAACACATTCGGGGCCAAATTCACTCATGCACTTTATATCAGAAAACAAGCTTTATATTTATACTGAGCACTAAGTAATTCCAGAGGTTTAATCCTATGCTACAATTTACATCAACTACATGAAGGAAAGTAAGCCGAAAACCTTTGATTATTGCTTTGAAACCTATACATTCGTTTTTAAGGAAGAATTTGTTTAGATAACATCGATGACATATCGGCCCATATACCTGTAGATGTATGCAGGGGGTGTTATCCTTCGAGTCTAATCTTTCCAAGAGTACGGGTCTCAAATGATTTGTAGGAAATGATGATATCTCTCTTCGTGTCATGAATATCACTCTCTTTTCCACTCATAGTTCTTATTGAGGCAAAACCTCATAAGAACACTTTATCTTTACTAAACTGTGTCTATCAAAAATGTGCAACCCCTCTTCAATCGAGAAGCCCCCTTTTTATATTGATAAATTATGATGTTTTAATGGATCACCACGCATTTCCCATCTTTGAATTTTCACCCTCCATCTTCATCCTGAGTTTATCCACTCATTTGAACCACAAAGTTTGTAGGTGTAGACCTTATCTTCATGGTGTTGTTTACTTCTTGTGTTTATATTTTCATACTGTAGATCTTACTGTTGGGTTGTTTAGGCAGATACAATCGCTGACACTTGCTTTTGAATTTCAAACATTTGAACCTCATCATCTCGTGGGAGCAAAAAATATCAGAGATTTTTAGTATAGGGTGCAACATGTGTTCACACCTTAACTCTGGCATAATAATGTAGTAAATAAATAACTCCAAGTAAAAGCTCATATAAATACATATCCTTAAGACTCGAAGTTATCATACTTTTTTTTTGTAAGGTTTTCTTATTTATACTTCACCGTGATTTTATATTCCCCTTAAAGTGTGGATTAGATGTTGTCTCTCTCCCTCTCCTTGCACAAATAAAATTTTATTTTTTATATTTTTAATTAAAATAAATAAAAATTTGTAGAAAAAAGCCATTGAAAAGAAAATAAACCAAAATGATCCAATAAGTAAAAATCTTTGATAAAATATAAAAACAATAAGTTAATTTCCCACTGAAAAAGAAAATGGTTACAATGCATTCATGAAAATTCAAAAACTCACCCTATGACATAGGGACATATGCACTGATTAATATAATCGATTAGCGACCTCTCGCAGTATAATCTATCAGCATTCTAATGCATACCTCTTAGATACGCAAATAAAAAAAACGGAAGTTAAGAAGAATAGAGCATACCATGCATGAAGATAGCTATTAAGAGAGCATAAGGAATGGAGTACAAATAT